CCTGATTTCCACCGACTGGTGGAGGAGCAGTTTTATATAAAGCCCCCACCACAGCAAGACTCTGCGCCTCCACCTAGAACATGAAGCATAACAGGGTGAGATCCAGCACTTCTCTGAGGGAGCGGGTGTGCTCTGCAGAAAGCACAATTTCTTCAGTGGTACCCTGTGAACTAACTTCACATTAACTCTACTGACAGCAATGTTGCTAAAGAATCCCCTCTAACCCATAGAAGGGTATGTTTTCGCAGACACAGTGAAGAAAATGGAACAAACTTACAGCAAGTCCGTTGCAAAACAGGCCAACAAACTTCCCCTTTCTTCATAGACAGATATACCTTTTCCCCCAGACACAATGTTAGTTTCGTGCATTAATCCTTTCACTCGTTTACAAAGGAAAGGAACTATCTGAAACCACCTACAAGTACATGCATTAAAAGTTACTCACTTTTATGTGTCCTCCAAATGTATCAAAAGAGAAAAACTGGCATTGGTTTTGCCCATAACAGGAGTCTTCCATTTCTCCTTGAATAAGTATATTTCTAGTGAGAAGACCAACCTCTGCCCGCATGTCGACACCATCTATGACTTCTCCCATGTGAAGATAAAGTGGGCTGCCTGTGGAAATCACAAACCTTTTAATTCAGAGTGAGCACAGTGTATTTGTTATTGTATTGTTCTGAGTAAGTGTACACCTTTCATTTAAGAAATCACCAGTTCTGGGGATGTGCCCAGTACCTGATCCCAGAAGAGATCAACACTTCCTCAGGCATCTACAGAGGACTGCTGCCTCTGGACAAACTTCCAAGTCCCAGTATAATATTGGGCCCTTCAGCTCTCATATGTACCCATGTGTTAAAAAGGTAATTAGAATGTAACAGATGAGACAATGTAAATAATTACTACAAACAATTAGTTTGATAAAAATATTTCGTACCATCAATTTTCACTTGATTACTTTTACATTCAGGACAAGGAAGGAGATTAAACTCTTCAGCCTGATGCATAGAATAGTCTGTACTGGCAATGACTATACGGTCACCAGGTAGCCAACTTGTAACCTCGTCCACCAGATGAATAATTATACCTTTGGTCACTTCCACTTTAAATCCATTATGAGGCACTCCTGAAAAATGAAGTAATCAATTATTTTTACAGTTCCACATGACAGAATCATGCAATTAACTGAAGAGCATACCAATTTAATTTTTATCTAGATAACTCTGTGCATGATAAAAGTGCTCTAGCCATTAACTATGCCAGTGCCATCTCTTTGTAGGCAGATAAAATGTTACTTTGAGAGAGAACTGCTGTTAGTTAGGTCACTGTCCAAGTGAGCCAAAGATTATGTTATGATTATCATTTCATTGTTCAGGTTTACGGTAGCCGAAAAAAGCAAAGCAACAGAAGACAAGCAATTGTCAGGGAAGACCGAACCTTTTATCCACCCACTGAAAGCAGTAACAGTGAAACGGGTGCCGTCGTAGGTGAGGAAATCTCTTCTGGCTATGGCTAACCCCGTTGTTCCATTCCCGTGATACTCCCGCTTATCTTCTGCTGTGGAGAGCTGATCCCCTCCTAGGATCCCCACCAGCGCCCAGGGCTGCCTGAAGGAGACGGGGAAGGAGCAAACCAGTGACATCCCGAACCCTCCACCCCGCAGAAATCTTAGGCAGGAGGGAGCAAGCAGAGCGACACGACTTCCCTCCCTCTGGCACGGGTTGCCCGCCGCACCCCTACCCGGGGTACCCTCCGCCCCCCGCCCGGGTCCTGCCGAGCCCCGCTCCGCCCCTCGGTCGGGACGAGCCCCCGGCGGAGCGCGGCCCCGGCGGAGCTGTCCATGGTGGCTCCGCTCCCGCCCCCCTCTGCTCCCGCCCCCGCCTCACCTGTATCCCAGGCGGGCGATGAACCTGCTGCCCAGGCGGTCCCGCAGCAGCAGCCGCGTCTCTGGCGTGAGGCTGCGGGCGGCCGAGTCCCCCACGGCCGCCGCCACCACGCTGCCGGGGGGCTGCCGGGCCAGGAAGGCTCTCAGCCGCCGGCCCTCGCCCGGCCGCAGGTGGGTGTCGAAGCGCCCCGCCGCCAGCACCCGCGCCGTGCCGCCGTCCAGGACGCGGAGGTTGAGCCCGCGGCTGCCCCACCTCCTCTCGGAGGAGTAGGGGCCGTGCCGGAGCCCGCCGGGGTGCAGCGTCTTGTCCAGGAGGGTCCAGGAGCGGGGCCGTCGGCCGTGCAGCTCCAGGACGCCGCCGCGACCCACGCCCACGAACTTCTGCCCGAAGCCCTCCACGGCCGCCCCCTCGGCGGCTCGCCCGTACAGCGAGATGGTGGCCCGCGAGCCGTAGGGGCAGCGCTCCGAGCCGATGTGTAGCTCCCCGCCGTCGTGGATGAGGATGTAGCGGGCCCGCAGGGTGATGGGCGGCCCGTGGGGGCGGTCGGCGAACACGAGCATCCCTGCGTGGCGAGGGGAGCGGAGCGGGGCTGGGTGCGCGCACAGCCGGGCCGGGAGGTGCCCCCACCGGTGGGCACGGCTGGGCCGCCCCCCGCGGTACGTGGGCTCCGGGACGGCGGCGGCCCCGCTTACCTCCGTCGCGGATGACGAGGGAGTGGAAGGCGGCGGAGCTCTCGAGGCGCAGGGCCGCCCCCCGGCCCACCACGGCGGCGCGGCGGGTGTCGGAGCCGGGTCGCCACGGGACGAGGTGCGGGACGGCCTCCGGGCAGGGCCCTGCAAGAGACGGGCGGCGGCAGCGGCGGGGTCGGGAGGTGGAGGGGAGCGGAGGGGCGCGGTACCGACCTGATGCGCTGCCGCCGTTCGCTGCTCCAAGGCGCGTCCCGCGTCGGCACCAGGACCAGGACCGTCTCCGGGTCCGGCGCGAAGGGCAGGAGGAGCCACGGCTCCCCGAGGCTCCCCGCGCTCGGCACGTCCCGGGCAGTCCCGCATCCTCTACCTGCATCTCGGGGCCGCGGGGTCGCCCCCGCCCGCAACACGTGCGCCGCGGCTGTGCACGGAGCCGGCGAGTGGCACATTTTGCTTTCGATGTGTTTTGGTTTTGTTGTTTGGGGTTTTTTTCCTTTTTTCCCCCCTCCAGTTAACGTCGCAAGAACGAAAGCAGAACCCCCCTTCCCGCTCCACACAGCCCCGGACACGGCGAGGCACCAGAAGAGCAGCGCGGACAGAGGGAGCCGGCGCGGAGCAAACCCAGCGGCGGATCGACGAGCGGCACTGGCGCGTTCCAAACTTCGCTGCAGACGCTTACCTGGAGCGTCCCGGCAGCGCCGACCGCGGACTCTGCCCGGCGCCTCTCGGAGCTGCCGGCCCGGGCTGCCGGGCACCCAGCGGGGCAGGCAGGGCAAGGGCAGGCAGGCGCAGGCAGCTCCCGCTCTGCCGCTCCGGCTGCCTCCCCTCCGCCTCCCTATTTATATCCATCTCCCAACCGCTGGCGGTGCCCGCACTGTTTACAGCGGCGGAGCCGCTGGCTCCTCCCAGCCGGGGACGATCCCTCCAGCCTGGACGTATATCTGCGACCGGCGCCCTGATGCCCGGGACCGGGAGGAGCCCCGCTGCCAGCAGGAAAGGTCTTCCCCAGCTACGAGCACCGGGGGCTGCGGGCTCCTCGCCGAGCTCCCAGGGGTGATGGGGAGCGGCCTCGGGGGGTCTGTGCAGACCCACAGAGCACTCAGCTGTGCTTAGCAGCCCCGTGCAAAGCGTGTTTCTGAGTACCAGCTGCCTTCGCAAGGGCTGAGGGGGCTCCAGACCCCGAAGTGCTTACCAGAGCTTGGCATGCCTCGGCCCTTCTTGAGGGGCAGCTGACACCTCTGGCACCTTCCCGTGGGGGTGTTTTGCCCTGTGCTGTCCTGTGTCTGGCAGATCTATGGACAACACTGTAACCCAGCAGCTGCAAAAGCTCCCCTGACAGCAGGTGAGCAGAGAGGTATCTGCCACTTCACCTCCCATCATCTTCCAAATCAACCTGTAGTTAGTCTGCAGTGAGAGGAAAAGGCTTAGAAGATGCTCTGACAAGACACAGCCTCAAAGAAAACCGTATGCTTTTAACCCCCTGGCCTGGGGCTGCCTTCCTGGAGCTTTGCAGGCTCCAGTCTCAAAGGACATGGCACTGTCTGTCACATCATCACACCTCTCACTGACCATCACACACTGTTTTGTTTTCCATGTACCAGAACACCACATTTTTTTTATAGGCTCTAAAATACAGCACAACTGAGCTTCTGGGTGGCACATAAATACAGGTCCCTGCTTTACTGCAGCCACTGCCTTCTCTCTCCCAGAGCTGTAATCCCTCATCTCCACTCCACAACACAACATCCAGAGAGGACAAGCTGGAACTGGGCAGGCAACTGTGCCAGCCACTGCTCCTGCCCAAGGCCAAAGCCAAAGAGGTACAGAGCCACAGGTGCTGTCGGTCTCTGAGACATTTGTGTGCCATCATCTGGTCAAACTGTTCCAATCTGTCACCTCTGAAATTTATTCTGGTGCAGGATTTCTTCTGACAGAGGGCACAAAGAGACTATAGTCATGTTAATAAGGAGCAAGTGCTGTCAGACAAAATATAGGAACAGACTGGAAGCAGGAGGGTGGGTGTGGGGCACAGCCATGCCCCACGCTCCAGACAGCAGCTCTGAAGAGGGAGCAGCACTCACTTATGCTAAACAAAACCCATCCACTCTCTTACACCTGGTCCTGGGACCCAGAGAATTGCTGAATCTGAAGATAAGCATCCAGCCCAGAGAAACAAATCCCGATAACACTCCCTTGTTTCAGTACTCCATAAATACAGGGAAACGTTAGAGCTGCCACCTTTGCTACCGGCTGTTCATCTGTCATTTAGTGTTGGCACTTCTATTCCTGTCTCAAATAGCTTTTGTCATTTTCCTTCCAAAAAAGCAGCATTAGTCAGCGTTGTGCCTCCTCCTTATCTGAATATGACACATATGAATGCAGGTCATGGGAAAGCAGAGCTGCTACCAGAAATAGCAATTTTTTTGAGAAAGATTTATCTACTGGTGGAAATGTCAGGCAATACGAGACATATAGGAGTATTTTGTCTTAAAACACACTAAATTCTCTGAATTCAATGGTTCTAGAAGTTCAAAATTTGAGGTAGAAGAGGACCTGAACCTCTATTTCACACCTGCTAGGGCCCTAGAAACCTCATACATTGCTATTTAAAATATTTACTTCATGCAAAAGATTTCACAGGCTTGCAATCTAAATAAAAGACAACAATGATTAATCTAACACAGTAATAGTGGAGGTAAATATAAGCCAGGCTTCGGTTAGTGCTAAGCTTTTTGCAGGCCTCATGGAACAATCAACAAAGTCAAAGTCACTCCTGCTTACCTGGGACTTTTCCTGAACAAGAAACCAAAATTTTTGAGGTGTGAGCGCTGTTTATGTAATTCAAAACTGTTTTTCCTCTGTAGCCTCAGAATCCACAGAAATAGACTGGGTTGATTCTTTTTCTGAAAGAACTACTCTCAGGTGAATGATTTCAGTGTCATTTCACCCCACATTAAGTTTTCACTGGCCTGAGGAAGAAAATTGCAGACTAAATGAGACTGGATGTATTACCCTGTTTTCTAAAGAATCCTATCTCTTTTTAAGATAAACACAGAAGCATCCATTACTATCTGTAGGTTGGTGCTCGAGAGGTAAATTCTTTTCCTTTCACTCTTTTCCAAATTTCATTTTCCACATTGATTTCTGTTTTGCAGCAGCACTGTGTTGAAGCTTATACCACAGCACTCCATTACAGGATGCATCCACAGCATGAGAACATTCCTGAACATCCTCACACCTGCAAGTGAGAAATCATGACTAATACTCACTGCCTCCAACACACGCCTAGTGTAACTCTTCCTCACAAAAATAACCAACCCAACCCCTCCTCCAAGTGCTACAGTGAGTTATAAACTGTAGTTTACCTTTCTAACAAAAAAAATGGATCATTTTCTGTAACGGGCTGCCAGGAACAAGACAACCTCGACTGTCCTGTGTCTTGGCACGTTGCAATGACTGTGATGCTTTGCCTACAAACACAGCTGTAACGTTCAATAACAAATATCGATGGCTGAGAACCTTCATGTTAAGGCAAGGGCAGAGAACTAAGCTGCTCTAAATGAGTCGCCTGACGGAATCGACTCCCAAGGCACAGACACCCCCGCCCAGGGATTCAGCTCTCCCACGGGAACGCGGGGAGGTTCCTTCTCTGAAAGCGGTTTTCCCGGGCACTCCAGGGAGGATGGTTCCTCCTCTGTAAGCGATTTTTTCCCGGGCACACTCCCTCGCTGGGCAGTTTCCTGTTTCCTCCTTACTGCTCCCGAGAAAGGAAGGAGAAGCGGAGGCAGAATCCCCTGAGCAACACCCCGTTCCCACGGAGCAGAGAACTGAAGGCGCCGCAGGATGAACTCCGGCCGTGGGAGGGGTCTGGTGCGCTCAGCGCCAGCTCAGCCACCAAACCTGCGTGCCCGGAGCCCCCCACGGACACGGACACGGACACAGACACGGGCCCCGCTCTCCCGCGGGGCGAACACGACCTGTCCCTGCAGAGCCGCGGCCGGGCGGGAGGCGGCGCCCCTGCACAGCCGCTGCCCGCGGGCCGGGAGGATCCCGCCCTCCTATCGCCCCTCCTGCCCAGGGATGAGCACCTCGCGTCTGCCTTTTGCTCAGCCCGAGCGCCGAGTGCGCCTCCTGGCACAGACCAGACCACTGGGTTGCATCCAGTGATGCCCGGCCCTGCGATTCCGCTCAGACAGCACCAGAAAGAGATACCAAACCCACATCTCCTCCTTGTGTACCTACCACTTTGCTCCTCTTCGGGCTTTAACGGCGTTTTCCTTGGTTTAATCATTTGCTTCTTGAGTAGAGAGAAGGCCTTGGACTGCTGAGCTTCAAACAGCACTCCCATGTTCCCGAGGAGCCGGAGCACCCTGTGCAGCAGGAACGGCTTCACCTTGTGCTGGGCCACCTTGAGGGGGCTGATATGAAGTTTGGGGAGGTTGACTCCTCGATCACAGTTATGAAACCGAAAGAGAGTCCAGGCCAAGCTAGGTCTAAAGATATCCATTAAAATGTATCTGGAGAGTTTAAGGAGCGTATCACAGGACAACTGCTTTTCTTGTGGCTTCTGGTTCAGGTTCTGACTAAGCAAACTTTTCCTTCCATGGTAACTCAGGAGAGAGCTGCTTCTGAAGGAGCTGGAGGGTTTGTAAGAGGCCATGGTCCCAGAAAGGTTTTTCTTACTGTGTAACAGTCTTCTGTAATCCATATCCCACAAAGAACTATTGGGATTCAAGCCATGTTCTGAAATAATCATAAATACAGTAAAACCTATTAAACATAAAAAGCAAAGAATCCCAGGCAGTTTGTTTCCTCAAAATTTATGCATATCTATATATCTATATATCTGTATTTATGGATGTTCTGCTGCAGCCCTGGATACAGTGCAGATCACTGCACTACTTTGACAAACACTGAATGTTTCAACAGGCCAAATCAATAGATTTGAGATACTTCTGGTTTTAGGTACTATAACATAATAATGATCATCTGCAATTTTTAATTTAAACTATTGTTTTCTGTAATGCTCAGGAAAACTATCTCAGTTATTCATACATACACACCAGAGTATACAGATTCCTAAAAAAAACCCTCATCACCAAAAGAGTACGTACTACTCCATATAAATTTTGCTGGAAAATGTTAAGAAAAATAATGATTCTTAATAAAGACTGTAAAAGCCTTTTTCATAGTTGCCTAAGAAAGGAAACTTTTACACTCCCACTGAGCCATTTGCATTTTGGGTCCAACCCCAGGCTCCAGCACAGTCTCTAATTTTCTAACAGATATCTAACACCTAAAAACTCAGTTTTGCTTTCTAGGTGCCCTCTCTGGTCTCTGCCTGCTGATTAAAGCCATTATCTCAGTGTAACAAGGTTAAGCTGTAGCTGCTCAAAGGCCACAGTAGCTTCATCCTGCTGTAAGAAGGTACTGATAAGGGAGAATTGTCACTCTCTGAAGCTCAAACTTTCTTCTAAGGTAGTGCCCCTACCCACCTCTCCTTTCTTCAGGCTGAGCCCAAAGGTTCAATTTACACTCTGAGAATTAATCAATAAAACAATTACATGCAATATAAGTAGGTTGGGACTTCATGATAAGTAGGGCTGCAAACACACAAGAAAGCTCCGATAATTAAAAGGGACAAGGAACCCAAACCTCAATGGCATGTTACCAGAAGTGTTTGAAATGCTGAATGTTTTAGTGTAACGGCATCCTGCTAAAGGCTGGAGGTCATGTCCTGGGAGCCCTGGAATATTCCTGCAGCCTTTCCTTTCATTTCCAAGCAGAGAACAGGATTTTTAAGACTGTTCTTCTATTTCTGACCGGGGCATCCCAGCCCAGCATGTTTGACAAGCTTCAGGTTTGTTGATTTTTGTTTAAGATTAAAGTTATCAGCTTCAAGTAGTTGTGACTTAGGGTCCAGGGGATTGCTTGCATATTGTAATTGTATTAGTTAAGTATTCTACTATTATGTTGGAATTTCACATATCAAAATGCCCATTTATGGCTGTAATTCATCCCTGAATTTGATCCAAATGCTCTGGCTGGACAGACCGGATCATCCCTGAAATATAACATTGCATTACTTAGAAACTGTAAAATACGACTGGTAGGACTAGATAGCAGCGGGTAACTCGGGAACACGTCATAACAAAAGCAGCATTTTGCATCTTTATGGCATCTTTCATTCAGAGCAATCGACAGGCATTGCAAGAGCCCTTTTCATAAGACCCCTGACAGATCAATGAGCTCTTCCGTTTAGTTTGGCAATGGGCTGATGTGGAAGGAGGTGAACTGCTTGTGTGAGATCCCTGGGAGGAATTCCCAAGGAGAGTGGAAAGAGGACCCAGCTCCAGGAGGACCCCAGTAAAGTGGAGTCCACATTACCCCATCCTCCTGGGCAGACGTGTTGGAGGGCCGATGGTTCATGCAGAGGAGGCTGGCAGGCACCGCTGCCATCCCACTGATGCTGGTCTGAGCCAAAGGGAAACAGTCTGGGGGCAGATCCAAAGCATTCCTAAGTGCACCTAATGGCACCGCTGCAGCCGAGCGACTTGGAATGTAAGCAATGTTAAATCTTTAAGCAGGTCTGCAAAGCTTCCAGAGCAAACTGCTTTGCAAAACGTTATTTAGAATAAACCAAACTTTGGATCGATGTCCTGTCTTCAGAGGCAGCCCTTAAACTAAAAAAGGCCTAAGAGACTAAAGGAGAAAATAAATGAAGGACCCACTGCTTGCAGTCACCTTTAAAGTCACAGTCAAACCGAGCCACCTATGTTTGTCCTGAAGTCAAAGTGGGATCCAGAGGTGTGTTGTGTCCCTTCCGCTGGTTCTCCAGACAAAGAAAGGGTCAGTTCCAGCAGCCCTGCGCCTTCTCCTCTCCCGGAGCAGCCACAGCCCGGGCAGCCCGAGCTGGCAGCCGGGCCCCAGCCCCGAGGAAGGTTCTGCCCCCGGGGCTGCAGCACCGCCTCCCCCGGCAGCACCGCCCGTCCCCGGGTCGTCACTCACCGTGTCCGCTCGTCGCCTGCGCCCCGGGCCGGGCGCCCATCACCATCACCATGATCACCATCACCAGGAGCAGCAGCAGCCGGGCGGCCCAGGGGCTCCTCGGGGGTGTCCCGCAGAGCCCCCTCCCCGCCCGGCGCCCCCCGCCCGCCCTCGTACCTGGCGGCATGGCCGCGGCCACCCCGGGCAGCCCCGCGGGGAGGGACGGAGCGCAGCCCGGCTGCCCCTCGGCACGGAGCCAGGCGGACGGAGGCTGGATTTCCCCGGAGGGATTCCCCCGCCGGACACAAGGGTCGGTTCTGTCCCGAGCCGCCGCTGGCACGGCCCAGGGGAGCGGGGATGCTCCGGCCTCCGCGAGCGAGGGAAGCGCAGCTCCGTCCCAGGCGGAGCGGGAGAAGCGAACACAGCCGCGCTCAGCAGCGCCCAGGTACAGCCAGCCCGGAATTCTACTTTAGAAAGGGACGTGCTACGCTCGCAGCCGCGCACCGCCGGGCCCTAAGGAAACCAGAGCACCTTTACCCGTACAGAAACCAGCAGGCAATTTATAACTGACATACTAATGGTGTATGGTTTTTAAGATAGCAGGCATGTCTCCCTAACACTTTCTGCTGACTTAGCTTAGTTACTGCAGAAACCCAGCTTCAAAACCAGACATCGGCAGAGGCAGAGTCAATGGAGCAGTGCTTCCTCTCCCACTGCAAGGACCAGCTCCTGCTTTTTACTGTTGTGGCAAAATTATGAGACCCAAATTCAACCTCTCACTTCGAAATTCACACCCATCTGATCTAAGAACTACCACTGGACTTGGAAAGCAATACAGGCTCCGCAGGTAGTTTCTGTGCCTGACCTCATTCTCAACAGCAGAGTGCCCACCATCAAAGAGGTCCCTTACCCAGCACTGGAGTACAAATGACTGCATTTGCCACACAAGAAATTTCAGAGCTGAAATAGCTGGAGAACTCCACAAAAAAGGATATAGAGAAATAAGTTAAATGGGCTTAAACCAGATCATCAGTCTGCATTCACGAGAATAGACCTAAGGGAGAAAACACTTTCCAAATGAGAACCATCAAGGTTTACGGCTGAACGAATAACCAGAGGAAGCAGGTACATTGGGTCTCTATTTCTATGTTTAGCACCATTTAGAAAAAGCAAATACAATACAGAGTTTATAGAAGATGTGTACAATGCCAAGCATAAATACAGGTTTGGGTATTTAGAGCTAAAGGGCCAGTGCCCCGAGCAGAGCACAAGTTACAGGAATGACATGGAAGAACGAGGAACAAAAACGCGGCAGAGGCAACACAGGTAACAGGCCTCCATGTGAGTACAAGTTAAATTTATAACAGTTACATAAATTTTGAAAGGATACATATCAGACTCCTTGGAAAATGCCACCTTTGAAGTTGTAACAAATATTCTTCTCTGGCTTTTTCAAAGTGCAAGCGCTAGACAACTACTGATAGTAACCAGATGTACCGGACCTTACCTTCCTGCGAACAAGCCATACCTCATCGGTGGCTGTACTACATGAACACAAATGGTCAGTCACACAGGAAAAATGGACAGAGCATCCCCATCAACAATAAAATGTTAGTGATCGCTCACACCCTTGGAAGACCCGTTGCATAATTTATCCAGGCACACAGAGCCATTTTTACAGTGACACCTTGATAGCTCTAAAATATGTATAACAAGTTCTTGTAAAGGCCCATATTATACATTTAAATGACAGAGTGTTAGCAGTTTGCTGGAACAGACTACTTTTTTTTTTTAACCCAAAATTTGTTTTTCATAACCTCACATCATCTCCTCTCCCATCATTTAAAAACTCTGTTCTAACCCTTTTTTATTTAAAAAAAATGAAGACCTGAAATCCACTGTCACGGGTTAACTGCAGCTTCATGACTTGGCCACATTTATTCAACTAATAGTTCTAAGGTTGACCAGTAGTGTTCTGAAATGCCTGAAAGTGATGCTTTGATACAAGTTTACAATATAAAGCAGCTCACTATCAGGATTTATTTTGTGTATAGCATATGTCAGAAAATTATAAAAATATCAGAATTAATTGAAGAACTATTGGATGAGAACCGGGCTACAAGGAATATTATTTAAGGGACCAAACAGGTAAACAAATCACTGAATTAAAATAGTGGTAAGAAGATCCATACCAGTGGATCAATGATAGGTCATTAACATTTTAATTAAGAGCAAAACATCTGTGTTACTTAAATGCAGATTAACTTCACAAAGCAAAACAGACAATGCAGAAACCAGATTAGCGAGGTACCTCTGAGAATTAGTTAAGCAGGAATTCAGGCAAATATAAGATAGTCCAAGTGGAAATTCATGTTCATCCAGAACACTGTGAACTCAGGCTGCTTGTGCAGAGACCACAGGACACATACAATAATGCTGAATTCGGATCCGGGGCTCTCATTAACAGAGGAATACTGACAAAATGCAAAGCAACTGCAAAGACAAGTCACAAAATGACTGCAGGTGTTGAAAAAGTAGTAACCAAAGAAATCAATTTATAGGGAAAAGGTTAAACGTACGAGTTTGTATTAAGTAAAAGGGTAGCTATAAGGGGTCATAAGGACAAGAAACATTGCAGGCTAAAGTTTCAGAGCAACACAAAGTTCAACCTGGGTATGAAAAAAAAACAGTGCCCAATTAGGCAAAAATCCCCCAAGTCACTACATTGACAGGCTGACTCAAAGTTACCTTGACTACTTGTACCACAGACAGCAGCTTTGTCTCCCAGGGCTATAGTCTCAGGAAGCACGCACTGAAAAAAAACCCACTGTGGATTTATGAAAGTACAATAAATATGATATAAAATCAAACATGTATCTGAACATTTATTTAAAATACAGGAGGGAAGTGGTGAGCTTGAGGTGATGAATAGGCAAAACTTGCCAGTTTTGGCTGGAAGAGTCACCAAGACAACAGCTAGGGGCCCTGCTGCCTGGGACATTTAAAACTCCCCAACTAGACAACACAGATGCACAAATCCAGAGCCTAAGGACCCAGATGGCGTGGAGCTGGATGCATGTCCTCATTTCCCTCCACTGTAAGTGAAAATACCAGTTTTTCTCCTTTTGCAGAAATAGGGCCAAGGCAATAATCAAAGACAATACACACTTGCAGTGCTGAAAATTAACTGCAGGCCTATTATAAGGATTCATAACAACTGTGTTCAAACATTTCTTCCAGGCAACAAATCATGATTTTTCATTACTTAAAACCAGCTGAACACTATTTAAACATAATCTCTTTTACAATTGATTTACATACCCAGGTTGCTCTATCAAGAAATCTGTATTTATACTTCCCTTGTGTATGAAAATTATGCACCAAATAAGATTCAAAACTTGAGCAAGCTCTAATCCATGCATCCTTTATTCCATTACAATCACTGTGTTGCTTTGTAGCAACAGGACACGAACTGCAATCAATCGCGATCAATTTATACAACAATCTGAGGCTTACAGTACATTTAAGGCCTTTAAATTTGGAAAAATTAGACCTATGCTAGCAGTGTAACAATTTTTAAGTGTTTTGCATTTCTGATGCATAATCTGTGCGATTCCAGTGTCAAAGAATCAAATTACTTCTAAACTAAAAAGATCAGCTCAATGAAAATTTAGTTACATAATTCATCAAAACATAAATGTGTAAATTTTTTTTTTTTGTCCTGGAAACTTTATAAAACTTTAATAGCAAAATAATATAGGGATAAAAACATATTTTAACAAAATGTATTCAATCATATACAAACCAGAATTTTGCAGTTTATTGTAACTAGACTTAAATTAAAACTACCAATTAAGAATCTATGCACAATGTAAATTCAAATATGTACAGTACTTTTAAAAAGTCTACAGGAATGCTTTACAGAAGGAAATGTCTGTTATGGCTATTATTCAGACAAATCTGAATATTAAAATGAGTTTTCTAATAGTAAATTTACACACTTATTTTTAAACAAAAGCAATTTTGTCCCTAGATCCTTTAAGAATATTCCAGTTATGCTTATACAAGTAATGGAGAGGTCGTTACAGAGTTTAGCCCCATATAGTAGTTTGTTTATTTTCAGGTAAAAGTATATTTAAATAATTTACTTGGGAAGATCAGTAAGTTAACAAAAGAACACTAGAAGGGAGGAGGGGGAACTTCATCACAATAACTTTCCAGTTACAATACCACAGCTAGAAACTTAACAGAGAAAGTACTCCCTTAGATTGAACCCATGATTGTTCAGAACAAGCTGTAGCTCATAACAGTTGTGTTCTCCACACTGAGAACACTGGGGGAAAAAGTCTTTGTAGGACAGAATTATAAATGATCTGAAGTGAGACAGAGAAAACTGATCTTCGATTAATACAGCACTAGGTAAAAAGTGTCCCCATAAGCAGCTAGGATTCCCACTTCCTTCAGGGCAACGAAGCTAAAAATTGTTGGAATTACAGTAGTTGACCATATCTGTGTGCATTAGTAGAATCATTTCCAGATATAAAAGACAAATTTCATCAGATGTTTGATTAGAACACCCTCAAGGCAGGGCATTTCTTCATAGTATAAAGCTATTACAGCTATCCAGTTAAAGCATGTGCAAAAACAGGTAATTTCTTCCGTTCACAGTAACTGAGGTAAAATCAGGTAGGTTTCTTCAGGAGTTGGGGAGTTCATGAGATATGAACTGTTTTAGTCTCTCTAAGTACTGTGCATAAAGCTCTATGTCATTATGCCCAGCCCCTTCCACCCAGAGGGGCTCTACCGCTCGCGGACACCGCTCGTACATGGCCAGGCCGTGCGAGAAATCGATCACCTCGTCTTCAGTACCGTGGATGACCAGCACAGGAGAGGTCACTTTAGAGATCTTGTCAATGCTGGGGGAAGGAAAAGAAAACAGCTCAGTTCGGGGCTTTAACTTTCATACCATTAAATGATTGATACATCCAGTTACCACTGCATGTTTTCAAATGGCTGCAAATCGTTGGAGTTGTGAAAACTGATACGGGACAAGGCTCATTCCCAAAATACACGTGTAAACAGGAGCCTGCACTGCCATCACCACCATCCCACCAGTGCTAACAACATGAAGTTTGAATGGGCAGCATGCAAATAAGGTTTGGCACCAAAAAGCCCCCACCAAAACAGAGGGTGTATCTATTACAAAAAACACTGTGAGGCAAGTGAGATTCCATGGGACATGCTGCAAATGTGAACTCTTCA